AGGAGAATAGGGATTACAAAGAATGAACAATGGACTTGTGAAGAACATGGAGAATATGACAAAGAATGTAGAAAACATGTAAGTGAAGGTGAAAAACGAAGTGATCTTGTGAGGAACATGAACTTGTAGAGGAACATGAATATTGACAAAGAACACAAAATATGGAAGTTAGCATGAATATTGAGTATAAAAGTTGTAAAGAGAACATGTGATGAACATGAAAACATAGAAAATATGACTAGAATTTGTAGAGAAAGTAATGAGACTAAGAGAAAGATTACAGAAAAAATGGAGATACTTGTGAAAATATGAACTGAATGGGACTGTGAACATTTGAAGAACATGGAGTGAACATAGAAAACATGGACAAAATGTGAAGAACACAGCTGAATATAGAGAAAATATGCAAATACAGTATGATTATTGAAGGTTTTGATACGTTGGGGATGAGAAGGGTAAAGTAAATACTCTGATAAACAGATAGGCTGGAGAGGGACTTGATCGAATATATTTATGTCTGATGATCTAAGGCTGAGGAAATGGAGCTTGGTTAATGCCCCGATTAATTTTACTACGTTAGAAATACGGTGATCTTAAATCTCAGGGTGATTTAGTTGGAAAATAAAGAACTTGTACAAATGAACTAAGCTGGGGCACAAGAGTTGAAACTTGATAACTGAACTGGTTTTTATTTACTATGTCTGAAAATGTAGTTGGGTGATTTGGACTGAGAGTAATGATTTTACAAAAGTGAGCTTGGACAGAGGACAAGAGCTAGAGTTTTATAATTGTTTACTTCATATTTACTATGTCTGAAATACAGAGGGTAAAAATTTCAGGGAAATTGATGGTTTATTTACAAAGATATGAAAGAGAACTAAGGCGGGGACGAGAGCTGGAGCTCAGTAACTGACTTGATCTTATTTACTAACTTTGAAGTATGTCTGCTTTTAATTTTAGGGAAATTGATGGGTTATTTACAAAGATACGAAAGAGAATTAAGGCGGGGACGAGAGCTGGAGCTCGATAACTGACTTGATCTTATTTACGGTGTCTGAAATACAGAGGGTAGAAATTTCAGGGAAATTGATCTGTTACTAACGAAGATACGAGAGAGAGCTAAGGCGGAGGACAAGAGCTGGAGCTTGGTAACTGTTTTGATCTTATTTACGGTGTCTGAAATACAGAGGCTAAAAATCTCAGGGAATTTGGACTGTTACTAATGATTTTGTAAAAATGAACTAAGCTGGGGACAAGAGCTAGAGTTTGATAATTGTTTGCATTTACTAAACTATGTCTGAAATACAGAGGGTAGAAATTTCAGGGAAATTGGACTGATACTAACGAAGATACGAGAGAGAGCTAAGGCGGAGGACAAGAGCTGGAGCTTGGTAACTAAATTACTGTATTGAACTACATTTGAAATATGATTATTTTTAAATTTTAGAGGGATTGGAATGATAGTATTCATTATACGACAGGGGACTAAGGTGGGGAACGTGAGCTAGAACTTGCTTACTAACATGATTTATTTGTGTAAAACTGACTTGCTTAATGAAAAGGAGCAAACATACTGACTTGCTTAATGAAAAGGAGCAAACATACGATGTTGGAAAATAGTTGAACTGAATGAAGAGAGAGAGAGAGAGAGAGAGGAGGGACGGTCCAGATATTATGGATAAGATAAGATAAGATTAAGAGCTGACTGGCTGGCTGGCTGGGCGCAAAGTAAATAAAGGTGACGCGACAGATTGCGAGGTAAGGGGGGAGGGAGGGGGGTGTGATGTACGAAACCCTGAAAACCATGACTTACACAGGTGATTTTCTAAATTTATATGAATAACTAAGGCTTACATAGACGATTTTGTAAGTTGAAAACATGTAAAATATGTCCGTAGAGTTCTCCTGGAAGCCCTAAAGAGCTACACACGTTATTTGAATTTCTCCCATAAGGCCTTAACAAACTTCTAAGTCTCGGAAATTATTTTTCTCATAAGAAATCCTTACTTCTAAAATCTCGGAAATTACTCACTCATAAGAAATCCTTAATCCCAAATTTGTGACTCCTCAAATTCACCTGAAAACCCCGACACGCTACAGCCACCCACCACAGCCATCCACCCACCCACCACAGCCACCCACCCACCCACCACAGCCACCCACCCACCACACCCACCCACCACAGCCACCCACCCAGCCATCCACCCACCCACCACAGCCACCCACCCACCACAGCCACCCACCCACCACAGCCACCTACCCACCCACCACAGCCACCTACCCACCCACCACAGCCACCCACCACAGCCACCACAGCCACCCACCACAGCCACCACAGCCACCCACCACAGCCACCCACCCACCACAGCCACCCACCACAGCCACCCACCCACCACAGCCACCCACCACAGCCACCCACCCACCCACCACAGCCACCCACCCACCCACCACAGCCACCACTCCACAGCAGGCTAAGAGACGGTCAGTGTACAAGCAATACAATACCTGGCGCCGATATAGATATAACCCAGCCAAGAGAAGTGACTCCTTGGAAACTGGAGCAATACCTTCTGTTACCTCGTATTTTAATTCAGGGCTTGGCAAAATTTTTAACGGGGAAGCTTGCTACGATGCTGTAGTGCTTGAATAAAGATGGATGAAAGCCCCAATATATGTATAGAGAGCCCATCCTCCTGTTTTGGTAGTACTTATAAGTGAAAATGAAGACCATAGTATATATACCGACGTACAACGCAATTAGAAAGTAGAAATCGATAGTATTGAGTTGGACAAACTGGAAAACTATTTTCTACTTATGTTGGAAAGACAACTTAACCAAACCTTTGTAGGCCTAATACACGTTTCTGAGGCCTAATATAGTGTATGCATGTGCTATACTAGGCCTAGGAATATTTAATTTTTTTTAAGCTTAATTTTTTCAGACATTATAAAGTGAACAGTATAAAGTTTGACTATCTAATTGCGTAGAATGACAATCTTTGTACAATGGGGGCACACAGTTATGAAAACTAATATCCAAACAGGAGAATGGGTTGGTATGGATGTATTAAAACAATTAATTTTCGGAATTTTTGGACATTGTATACAGTACCTTGAGAATGGATGTAGGTTACATCCGAAAATTTGTTTTTTAATGCATTAATACATATATTGGGTCTTTCCTTCACACTGAAATATTTAATGTTACCAAAGATATGTTCTCACTTGTCTTAAGGAAGCAACACCAAGTAGAGACATTTTTTCTTCAGTGAAATAAGTTTCTTAGACCTTTGTTACTACAGGCCGTACATAATGATCTAAGGAAAGTTTGACATATCCGCCACATCTACGGAGATGCAATCGGTATATGTCTTAATCCCATTTAATGTCAGTGCAGAATTCACTAAAAGTGTCGTCGGTAAAACATTGGACAAAACACCAGGTATTCAGGTAAACGTCCTCGAACCTTCATCACGGCCCTTGTGGATTTGTTCAAAGGTGTGGTTACCAGGCAGACATGTGGTCACCGGGCAAAAGGCACTCACTGAACAAGAGTATATTAAACAAACCGATGGTGTTCAGACTTCAGTATAACTACTCTCATTGCTATCTTACTTTGAAATGTCTTGATCCCGTGTGTGTCTTGAGTCAGCATGTGTCTTGATCCTGTGTCTTGAGTCCGCGTGTTTCTTGATTCCACGTGTGTCTTGATTCCGAGTGTCTTCCGAGGCCGTGTGCATCTTATATTTCAATTAAGCTGTTCCTTTTTCAAAACTTAATTTTTGAAATGTTGTTGTTAATATCATACAGTACATGTAATTGCGATTACTCTCTTACAAGTATCTGGTAAAATAAGTTTGTTTAAAAGTGAAGATCAATATTATACAGTACTTATATTTCTGCGATAGCCCTACCTATGTTTTGTCGACTGTTCGTGTGGCCTACCCCTCCTCATTGTCAGCCTGTATCTGTTAGATCTCCTATCTCTTTCTCATAAAAGTTTCTCGTCAAATTAATGTCCCTGATAACGTCCATCTAAAATGAGTTGCTAGACTGTCATATTACCCGAGAGCCACTAACACAGGTGGACTCGATAAGGACAGGAAGCCGGCGGCTTGTCAAAGGTCTCTTTCCACCCCCCTCCCCCCCCCCCCCACCACCACCATTTGCTGTGATGGTCTTTTCCAGCTGTGCTTTAACTGTTACCAGAGTTTGGCATTTACGGCTTCAGCCAGTAGGCAGTTATCTTACGGGTAACGTATTTATAACCCTGTGGACGGAAAAGCATCTCCTGTTCTCAGTCATACATTGTGGCTTGTTGAGGTTGAAACTGCTGCTCTTTGTGTTACACCTGACCTTTTGAAGAAATTTTCCTCATCAACCTCCTCCAAATTGTTCAGTACTGTATTTCAAGTTTCAATGAGATCCGCCCTGTCATACCTGGTTTACAGTGTTGTTAGCACTGTGGCCCTAAAAAGTTGGCAAGAAATAATGTAAATGGGTATAATTAGATTATGGTGAGCACTTGGGTGAAGTTGTCAGTGGCAGCGGCAGAGGCCAACAAATTGGATAAAGTGGTTATGTAGGATATTTATGGACTGAAAGCAAGATAAATATTATTCCTTACCTCAACCCGCTGGCCATCTGCACCAGGCCTCAGTGGTCTGCCGAGATGTGGTGTGTGGAATGTTCTTAAATTGCCATTTGCTGCCACATAATTTTAGAAGGCAGTTGTACAGTAATTGTAACATTAAATTTACTTATTGAGGTATAAGTACTGTACAAATATCATTATAGATAGAGGTTATTACAGTAATGTAGCTTGGTGGCAGTTGTTTTTAAAAATCTTTAGTAACAAATTTTCATCCTGCAGATATATTGGGATAGACCATATAAAAAAACATACAACATAAAACAATATTTTCAACCATATAAAATTTTTGGTGGCATTATTTAATATTGCAAGTATACTGTATTTATTTCTTTTCTTTTACCTGCAGGCTTGTAATGACTATGTTGAGGTAAGCAGCACTGCAGGGCGCAAATGGCAGCGTCTTCTGCAACATGAACGCGACCAGCGTGTAAGGCTGGAAGATATGGTGGAGCAGCTTGCCCGCCAACATTCCCATCTTGAGCAGGAGGCCAAGGAACAGATGAGCCAAGCCATGCCACCTGGTATGTTGAATATGGCTCAGCAGCATCATCATATTTCTAATAGGACATCCATGAAGGCTGAAACTTGTTCAGATATATGTTTAAGTTGGTGATTGGTTGTATTCGAACATAATGAATTGAGGATGTCAGTTGTTTTGTGCTTCATGAATAAGATAAAACAATTAGTTTTGACTTTTAAAAATGTTAAGACAATTCTTTCTAGCTTGCTTGTATTTAAAATTTGTTAAATGCATAGAATTTCTTTAGGTTATTTCATGCAATTTAAGAAAACTAATTATTGATGCTGAATTGATATTTGTTTGCTTGTATTTTATATGTACTGTATAGTTATTTGTACAGTTTTGAAGTAGTTCTGGTGCATGATATGTACAGTACACATTAGTTCACATATCTTAAAATGGAAATACTGTACTGTACTCTTTACTATGTTTAGTGTTGGATAAGCAAGAAATAACATCTCATAAAACTTAAGAGTACATAGAACTTGGAACTAGGATTAAAGATGTCCCATATCTCCCCTCTCCCTCATGCAGAGATTTTTTTTTTTATTACAACTTTTGGAGCTTTAATGCCCCAAAATTTCCTGATTCAACCTAGATTTGTGAAGAAAAAACTGGTACCCCCAGTCTTTTCGTTTGCAAATCCAGGCATAGGAAGTCACTAAAAGTTCTGATCGGTATCTCGTTATGAAGGTGTGTAATTATCCCCAACACAACTTGCCCAACCACTTGGGCTGGATGGTAGAGCAATGATCTTGCTTCAAGCAGTTCAGCATTCAATCCCCAACTGTCCAAGTGGTTGGGCACCATCCTGTCCCATCCCAAATCCTTTTCCCGATTATTTCCAAGTGCTATATAGTCATAATGGCTTGGCACTTTCTCCTGATAGTTCCTTTCCCTTTGCCCAACTGAACTTTTTTGTTATTACCCATCTTATTGAGTATCTTTCATGGGGAACCTTAGTTTTTAAGACATTTTTTTGTTGTGTTTTCAAACCATTACTTTCTCTGTGCAGTATCTGGGGAACACCTCTACATATGGGCTTTGACACATTAAAGATGAGCATGGTGGTTGCAAAGACAGTTCTCTTAGTTATTAGGCTATGTAATCCCTAATAACAGATTTGAGTTTTTTAAAAAAATCAGTGGTAGTTGTACCTTGATCACACTCCCAAACAAGCAAGCATAGGTACAACAAAATTGTTATAAATAACTTCTGATGCCAGGGATACTACCAGTAGAACCAATTACAGATTACTTTTTTTTTTACCTTTCACAAGAATGGTTCAAGATGATATCACATGGGATGTGCCCTATATCTCATATTTAAACATTTGACAATATAATGAGAGACCACATAATGTATGGTCTCATTAATATTTATTACATAAATATGTAATGCCACTAAAACTTACTGCAGTTATCTTGGATGAATATCACCTCCACTTGGCTGCAACGTTGGACATCTCTTCACCAGTCGAATATCACAAGATAACTGGGTAACACATTTTGGGGTATATGTCTGAGGTCCCACTGTAATAAAGTAAATATATCCAGCACTTGTGATCTAGCTCTCTTGGACTGGAATAATATTACTACGTACCTGGTTGCTATACCCTTTAATGTTCTGTTGTCTTTCCTTTTAAGATCCACTTGTATTATACTCCATTACTGACTTAGGGGGAAACATTGCTGTTGTCCCCTGTTGTCATAAACTCATTCACCCATTGTTAGAGTCTATAGTGTATGTGTCAGCTTGTAGTGCAATCAGTAATAAGTTACCTTTTCCCTAATGAAAGCCATTGTAAGAAAAGTAGGGTCGTGTTTGAGAAAAGGGAACGAGTTGAAGTATAAAATAATATAAAGTGGGAAAAGACACTGGAAGAGTTAGTGAGATTTAAGTTCATAGGGGCAGTGTTTTGATAACAGTGGTACTAGGAGAGTGTGCTATACTGTATGGAAGTGGTAGAAGTGTGGTAGAGAAGATGAATATTACAATGAAATGAATGTATTGTACTGTATGTAACATGTTAAGAAATAACTGAAAGATAATATTATATTTCAAACACTGACAAATAAAAGGAGAACTTTGGTATGCAAGGTAGTGCTCAATAGTATAAGCAGTGGTTATAAGTTTTCGAGGAAAGCTGCTGATGTAAGTATGCGAGATGGGTATAACAATAAGAAAGTACACACGAGATGTGGTATTAGTGAATGGAGTGAGTGAAATGTGGAGTAAGTTATGCATTATACACTATGCATTATATGTGGTATGGAAGCTTTATTAGCCGTCATGAGTTTTACTGTACCTTTATTACAGGAGTAATGATTTCAAATGTCAGGAGGGGTGCTTCGTATGCTCATCTGCGGAAGATGGCATCTTAGAAGCGTATTTGGCTCGGTATCATTTATACTATCAATATGCTCGCTAGCACTTTGAGTGCAATACACAGATTCGATTGATTGATTGAATGGGCAGGAGGCATTCAGAGAAAACGGATGTCACACTTTATCATTATTTAATGAGCTACATTACAGCATGACGACAAAGTGGGATTAATGTTAGCTTAATTAGTGAATAAAGACTAGGACATATAATTAACTTGACTCGTTTGACACTGGTAAATGCTGTTTTAGGTGCACTACATTTTAAGTTCCAGCAATAACAGGAGAACCTTGGGGACATGTGTTGGGAATAAAAAATGATAAGGGAACACGCACAAATGTCATGGATCGAGAAGCACTGTGAAGAGAGAGAAATTACATATACTGTAGCTGTACTTATTAAACTATTATGTAGGGGGCCTGACATCTGAGTGGACAGCGCTTGGGAATCGCAGTCCTAAAGTTCCGGATTCGATCCCTGGTGGAGGTGGAAACAAATGGGTAGAGTTTCTTTCACCCAGATGCACCTGTTCACCTAGCAGTGAACAGGTACTTGGAAGTTAGACAGCTGCTGCAGGCTGCTTGCTGGGGGTGTGTAACAAAAAGGAGGCCTGGTCGAGGACTGAGCCGTGGGGATGCTAAGCCTCGAAATCATCTCAAGATAACCTCTCAAGTACATACATTCCAAGGGTCCCACATGAGACCCTTGTGAACACCTGCTTATTACTCAATTTAATGGTGTCAATGAAAGTGAGATACTCAAAATAACATACAGCATGGGTAGGGACCACTGGTTACTACTACTGACCTGAAAAGTGGCACCCTGGGTGATGAAGGCACAGCTGCAACAGGGGATGTGGGTACCGTCATTAGGCAGGATGGTGAACTTGGTTGGGGAGGTGGTATGCTTGCACCTGGATGATAGATAACAGATTCAGAGATGGAGTGTGGAGCATGGAGACTGGCTGTTGTTAAATAGATCATGTGAACACAGTTAATTCACATAGAGGGTGGCACTCTTCTTTAGTACAAGGACTTGCTAGCACTTTTTCCTTGGTCTTCTCAATCTGGTTATATAGGAGATTAGGTCAGACTTCTTGTTGCTCTTGATGATCTTTGATGCTAAAATGGGAAAGTTGTGACTGTTACAGGGTTAACACTTGATTTGACTGTATTAACTTGACTTGGTGATGTTTTACCGATATGAGTGTCAGAATGCTATAGGGGTTTCAGAATTGCCTGGGCCTCCTGGACACTTGAGTTGGCTGAGTCAGTCACAATATATGAGCATATGAATACGGAAAACCATGGAAGACTAGTTTGCCCATGTGAGACAGCTCCTATTTTATACAAGAAAAACTGATTTATATACTGTACAGTACTTCATGCATATCTATCCTATGTTTCAAACAATCCAGCAATCTCAAGCCTATAGTATCTAATCATTTGTTCTACAAATATACAACCAGAGGGATTATAATTACAACATTAAAGTTATTGAGGGGGGGAATAGATAAAGTTGAAAAAAAAAAGTTTAAATTTAGAAAAGGTAGGACAAGAAGATCTAGATGGAAGACGGAAAATGTTAAGTCAGACGTTCACAACTCTTCAACCTCCTGTCAACAGATGTACAAAATGTTGCTAGAACAACAGTTGAAGCTTTCAAGAGTGAACTTGAGAAGTTTATGCTGATGTTATGTTATGCTGATGTTGCCCGAAACGCTACGTGTACTAGTGGCTGTACAAGAATGTAAGAACTCTTGTATATATAAATAATAATAATAGTAATATTGTTACTGAATCGAACTGTGATTGTGTGCTTGTGGACTATGAAGACAAACATCCTCATAGACCAAGCAATCACTTGAGAAGACTGGTCCCAGGTTGGGCTTCAATAGTAGGACAACTATTAAAATTCCCCATAGGTAGTCCACATTAATGTCAAAAGACTTAAAAGTTAATCAGGCAAAAAAAGCTAGAAGGCAGAGCATAAAAAACTAATCAAACTTTCTATAGACACTGATATGTAATGATCACTACAACCACAATTACAGCCACAAGCGCTACAATCACTACAGCACATTATTGTTTATCATACCACCCTCTGTTTATTATACGGTATAGTACTCCCTGAACAGCATATATTCTACTTCATATTGTAATGGACTCATTTTGCTCTATATTCATTATAATAACTAATCTTTTCCCCTGTGAATTCATTTGAGGGTCTCGGTAGTACAGTTGGGTTCATTCTCAACTCATGATCGGAAATCCCAGGCGGGACAGAAATTGTTGGGCACGTTTCCTATCTTTGCGTTTGTTTACCTAGTAGTTAGGTGCTCCTAAGTAAATAGTTACCCGGGAGTTAGTCAACTGTTGTGGAGTTGCATCCTGGGAAGGGTCAGTAGTTTGGCCTTGGGAGACCTTGATATAAGCCTAATGTACTTAAATACACAGGCTGCCTGCCCCAACAAAAAATTTTAAAATTATTACTGCAACATCTTCATAGCCTCATACAGTATATGCAAATCCAAAGATATTTTACTTGCTCACCCTTATGCAATCTAAATATGCCTAGTTCTTTTAGTGTTAGTTTGAAGGTATGGTTCAGCCTGTC